TTTTACCATATCCAAGGAGATTGTTTTTATTTGAAAAAAAGTATCTCATACGGTTATAGCTGAAAAAAAAACATAGAAAATCAGGGATGAATTGAAATGATTATTTTATATTTCATTTTCATTGGACATTTCTCAAGACAATTACTCAGCTCTTATGAATACATCTTCTTTATCACTATGTCGTAAAAACATCAAACATTCTAATTTAACTTTTTTTCAAATCAAAATGATCCACAAAATCGTAGTCTTGCATTGGTTAATGTATGGAAATGCTGAATATTAAATTAATCTCAACTAATGTGAATTTAACTGAAATGATTATAAAAGGTGATAAAATGATATAATATTAGCTCTCTTAAGTGAATTGGCAAATGTATGTAGTATGTCAGATTTCTAATTGAAGTTGAATGATCTTTCAGTATCTTCAAAAAGTTGTACTTCAAATTCTATGTTTAATGTTACTAAAAATGATCTTTTCAGGGCTTTAAAATGGCCTAATGTCTCTTCGTAAAAGGCAGTAAAATTAAACAAAGATGAGAGAAGACTCATCATGGTGTTCCAAAATTGTCGTAGAAGTGTCAACTTCTTGGTGTGTGACTCGAAGAGCTAATCTCACCATCCTCTGCCTCGAACACCATTTCATTAAGTATCTTGACATTAATGAAAGTGTAAATTCTCATTCTCATCTTTGTTTAATTTTGATTTAAAAAAAAGTAAAATTAATATGTTTGATATTTTTACGACATAATATATAGAAGATGTATTCATAAGAGCTGAATTGTCTTGAGAAATATCCAATGAAAATGAAATATAAAATAACCATTTCAATTCATCCCTGATTTTCTATGTTTTTTTTTTCTTCGGCTATGACCGTATGAGATACTTTTCTTTTCAAATAAAAACAATCTCCTTGGATACGATCGAATTTTTATGTTTTTCAGCTAATTGAAATCAAAATTTCTTTTTGATGAAAAAAAATTTTAACTCGCATCTGCCAAGGATCAACATCCCGCAATACATCCATATATATATTCAAAAAACAGAAATATTGAAACTGCACGTTGTAATTATAATTACTATAGAAAATATTGGATTTTTGAAATCCCATACGGGATCCCATATGGGAAATTCTATAAAAATGCCATGTGGGAATTTCTAATCGGGGCATGTTCCAATTAACTCGCTACTCTTCAATTGACCTATACAATAAATAAATGCTATTTAGATTTTTGATATTGATGTGATTTATAATTTTGAAAACTGTTATGCAGACTTGTATTTGAAGATGATATTTACAAGATAGATTGATATGTGGATGAATAAAATGCATTCGTTAATGTAAATTGTTCCATAAATAAGTAACAGACTTGTTTTCATTATGACTTGAAAACATAAAATAAAAAAATGACCATCAACAAGGTACCGTAGTCTATGATTTTCTTTAAGATAGATTCATAAGTACAAGAGCATTTACAGTTTTCATTCATAAATATGAATATGTTAAGAATATAAAAATTACAGACTGTTTATCAAACAAAAAAAATGCATGTTTCACATCATACTTTTTACAGCCAAACAAATATTATATTTATAGAACGACAATGAAAATTTGCTTATCTTGAAAAATCTAACATACGTTTTCATGAAAATGCAATCTACATGTACTTTAAAAAGCATATGGAGCTAGTAAAACTTCTTACGAAATTGAATTTTGGCTGCTCAATCATCTCGTCAACTTTAGTAGTGTCATGCGTAGGTGAAAAACAATTGTCATTAGTATCGACATCAATTATGTTTTCTGTAGGAATGCCTTCACTTATTGGTTGTGCATAGTCGCAGTCCATTAAAGATTCAAAAAATGTTTGTGGATTTGTCTCCTGCAATACAAATAAATGAATTGTTTATGATAGTCAAGAAACAGTTCAAATACTATGAAGAAAAATCATGATTTAAGGTATGTATATTATTTCATAAACAAAACTAAGCTAGGTTATGAAAGATATTTTGTGCCAAATATATCAATAGAAGACAATAGTTTTATCCAAAACAATTTACGCCGCACATGTCAGTAGAGTAATTTAGAACAAACATTTTCACTAACCTTCGTTTCACGCACTGCCGTACTTGCTGTACCATCACACGTTTTTATTTTTTTCAACTCACTCCTCGCATATTTTGATAAATCATTTGCACTTCTCGTGGCGAGGTATTTTTTGTACTTGTATTTAAATATTTCCTCCATTGCTATACTTAGAAAATATTAACTATTTATATCTGAGAAATCAACAAATACCGTAAACAACGTGGACATCATCACAGCCGGCATTCTTACTAAGACTATATAAGCAAAATGGCCGTCAACACATGGCATCATAACACACATACGCACACACAACACGCATCCACATGAGCGCTACTGATAAGCATAATTTTCAAATAGAGAAATTTATATCTATTATATTTTGGGAAATTCTCTTAATATTACAAAAATTATTTATATTCTCTTGTAATCTCATATTAAATTTGCCATCGGGAAAGTTCTTTTTTACACCGGAAGCCGCTTCCATGAAGGTGTGTGTGTGATGTTCACGCATATGTGACATGTGACGACCGGTAGAAGTTACTAGAGGCCCTCCTTCTTGACCTTCTTTGTTCTCAAAAGCTGCTCAAAAGTCAAAGTTTTTTATCATTAAAAAGACAGAGAAAGTAACTATAAATACAATAACTTTCAAATACTAGATAGAATTGTATAGTTCATACAACGTTAATACGACTGAGGAATTTTAGCACATTGTGAGAGCTTTTGATTTTACAGTGATTTTTTTTGGAAATTTTATTCAATTGTTAACAGATTTTGAAAACGACTGATTTTTAACCTTAAAATGAGCGAAAGTGAGGCTTCAGATTTGAATGGCAGTGAAACAGACTTTGAAAAAGTCAATGAAATATTGAAGAAGAAGCCTGGTTGTGCTACTGTTAGATTTAATAACTATGAAAAAGATAAATTATATCAAATAAATATAATTGATATCAAGTTAAAAATTAGAAATACTTATGGGAAAGCAGTTAGAATTCCCTTTGATCCTCAGCATGACCGTGATTTTGATTCACAAAAGTTGTATCATATAAAGTGGCATTGTCGGTCAGGTTGTGAAGAAGATCACGATAAACATTATTCGTATTATACAGCTTCCATAATAAATCTAGGCAGTAAGTATTTCACAAGTAATAAACAATCGTTTGATAAAACCTTTCATTCAAGCACTTATTTTTGCAGTTGACGCACAAGATTGCCTGATCAAGATATCACAGAAACGATGTCAATTCAGAAAGCCATTATCTGAAATAACTGGAACGACAGAAAGTAGTACATCGAATATTACTCAACTAAATTTGGACAGTCTTGTTGAAAACAATGTGATTAACAAATCTTGATACGACTGAACAGTCCTTATATGTTATTTGTTACAAAGCTGTGTTGTTGTAAAATTCAAGTACAAGTTACTCAAGGTATTATGTAGCCTCTTGTAACTAGTTGATAAAAATGTACAAGCAAGTCTCAAAATAATCCTCTGATTAATCAATGTAACCGTAAACATAGTTAAATACTTATGAAATTCTATTTAACGAATGTCATTGATTACTCGGTTATAAACTTTTCTGTCTCACGGGTATTGTACAACTGTACGTTATCTATGTTTCCTCTTATAGATGTTAAAAATCTCACTACAATGGGAAATTTTCACATTTACTGTTTCCTAGAAGTTTTCATAATATCTCATCAATGTAACTCGTGCCATAAAGAAACTACATATATCCTCTATACTCAGATTACTATAATTAATCTCATCTCCTTATATGCGTCCTGCCTTATGTTTTTTCAAAACTAATCAACGCTTCTATTTATATATATTTTGCAGATTGACTCAGAAGGTTTATTGTTGACTTGTTGTACCACATTAGACTTGCTTTAACATATATAACTGTGTACCTGTAATTATGACATTCTCACAAAGAAACATTCTTAAAAAATTGTATAAAAAGTTATGATAAAATACTCATCTAAATATTTTGGTCATCACTGTTTTTATGTGGATATTTTCGTTGGTACACATCTGTACAATACTTATATAGCAATCAACGCAAATTGTTGGGTACCATTGGGTAGCACGTTTATTTTGTTTTTTTTTTAAGGTTGGAATACGTAGTCTATTATTAGGCGTGATGCTTTTGCTTGCTCCATATAATGGCGTAATTCAGGGTCTTTCCTCGTCGCATTCTTATAGTTCAATAGTTAAATATTTTTATACGTTAAAACTCATCAGCTGCTGTACATATTTATATGTATATCTTGTAAATTTTTATCCAAATAACGCGAAAACTAAAATCGAGTCTCTCTTCCTCCCTGATCTTACACAGCAGTAGCACAGCAGCTACTGCTGATGCTGAATATAGCTACGGAACGCAGAAACTGCGACAAATGGCTAAGGCTTCGTTTTCATGGCGACAATTTTGTCGTACGACAGCCGCGACACGACAAAATCCAGTTGTGGGGGAATGTCGTTGTAGTTCAAAAAATCCAACTACACCGACAACGCGACACGACAATATGCGGTCGTCAGCGACAATGGCAACACAATCGAATATTTGCATTTAATTATTTTATTTTATGCTGCATTGGCCTCAACTGACATTGGGATATGATGCTCTGATGTAATGATGCTCGCGATATATCCATTACATTCTTTATTTTTTTATATATTTATAGGCAATGTTAAAAAGTATAATCGAAATTGTAGAAATTCACGTAGATTCAGCTACAATTCGAAAATTTAAAATGGAAAAGCACAATGAAAAATCAATTTATTTTGATGTCAAGGAACCTTGTACGACCTAAACTCGTAAAGTCCCATATGCTTTATTGATGAAACAAATAAATTTTAAAACGAATAATCACTTGTAATAAATTATTGATTTCTCATAATTCCCTTATTTCACAGGATCCCAAAGCACTGGTTTTGCAAGCTCAAAAAGAAGCAGCAAACAACATCTTGCGAAAGAAGAATGAAAATGAAAGTTTGAATGCATTCATGGGAAAAAGAAAACGACTAAGCAATGCAGTCGATAAAATAAAAAAGTTGAAATCTGGAGAAAGTGGCCAAACAAAACCATGCTGTGTTATAAAACATGTGGAAGAATTTGAAGGTTCCGATCAAGAACCAGCCTTGCTGGCAGAAAAGTCCACACATATGGAAAAGGAAAATCAACAAAATAATGGTAGATAAATATAATCAAAGCATCATACTTTGTATTTCATATATCTTTTTAGAAAGAAGTTTTATATTAAAATTGGTAAAAATATTTATTTTGCAGCTTCTAACACACTATCTCCTCAGTCAAAACGTGCTAATGATAAAGGTAATTTTCGAATTTTTTTAATTTAAAAATTTTCTATACCATTAATTTGATTTTCATAATTATAGCTGATTTCATGGCAGCGTTTACTCTTATGAAATCATGTCAAGGCCAATTCAGTCTTGAACCTGAAGATGGTAAGCTTGCTGTTGTTGTGATATGATTTATGTGTAAATTTCTAAACTAATGCTGCATGTATATGTAATTTTAGATGACGTATCGTCAGCGTCATCATCCTCGTCAAGAAATGCAAGGGATCATCATTTGATAGGAAACAAAGGAGGCAATCATCACAGAACCAAAAAATCTTTATCCGAGGCTATTTATATGAGTGAAAGCAGACGTTCGGCAAATGATCAATATGAGCTTCCTCAAAGTACGTGGATTTTATTTCCCGATTGCATATATTCTTAAGCTCATATAATAAATAAAAATAGATATGATTTATGTATAAATTCGTAAACTAATGCCGCATGTATATATATGTAATTGTAGATGATCAGATGGATAACGCATCGTCAACATCATCGTCCTTGTCAAGAAATCCAATGAATCCTCATTTGATAGAAAATCGAGAAGACCATCATCAAAGCGTCAACAGACCTTTACCAGAAGCCATTCTTATGAGCCACAGCAGACGTCCATCAAATTATCAGTATCAGCTTCCTCCAAGTACGTGGATTTTATTTCCCGATTGCATATATAGTATTCTTAAGCTCATATAGTAAATAAAAATAGATATGATTTATGTATAAATTCGTAAACTAATGCCGCATGTATATATATGTAATTGTAGATGATCAGATGGATAACGCATCGTCAACATCATCGTCCTTGTCAAGAAATCCAATGAATCCTCATTTGATAGAAAATCGAGAAGACCATCATCAAAGAGTCAACAGACCTTTACCAGAAGCCATTCTTATGAGCCACAGCAGACGTCCATCAAATTATCAGTATCAGCTTCCTCCAAGTATGTGGATTTTATTTTACGATTGCATATATTCTTAAGCTTTTTATAGTAAAAACATAACGTGCCACATTGCTTTCAGAAAAAGTTGAATTGGAAACAGAGCAAAAAATTTATGACAAAGTGAACGATGGAAATCAAGTATGTATAACAAGAATTCTAAAATACTAAAACTAAAATCATCTCTTACGCTAATTTGTTTATTTGTTAAGGTATACTTAGGATTAGATGTATATGTGGATGAAGATGTATGGGCTAGAGTCAATCGTAAAAAAAAGAGGCCAACCATGTGGCTCAGAGATGTAGCCGAAATGATTTGGAAGCCAGAGAATTTGGTAATGAGAGCATTCGATGTCAAATTATGCACAGCAGAAACTCCTGGCAAAGAAAATGAAAATCGATTACCCTTTGAAGAAGACAAATGGCAACTTATGATACGTAAGTAATGTTTTTACATTGTATACTAAATATAGGAAAAAATATTTTTCGGGATATGTAATTTTAACCGACATTAATATTTCCAGAATTATATACGAAGTATTTGAATGATTTGCACAATGAGAATCCAAGAGTCAATGTCAAAGCTTACTTGAGTACTGCCAGCGAAACGATAAGTTCGAAGATACAAGATTTAAGAGCTTTATTACGTAGGAAAGCAGAAAATAAACTGCTGGCAGAAAAGGGAATTATACGTGCTAAAAAGAAAGCTCGAAGAGCTTACTGTTATATAGATCATCACGAAGAATCTTAGGTACTCTTCTGTTATCTGATAGGCGACATACATTCGCTTATCTTTGAATCTTAATATTATAACGTAGTAAGATAAGATTTTATTATATAAAATTTTTGTTGTTGAGATTTTCGACTTTTTTCTAATTAAAAGTTTATAGTTTTCATGCTTCTGTAAGGCTAAATATACTAATTATTACTAAAATACGATAAAGAGTAATTTGATACATTTCACTGTAGTTCACATTTAATGTACAGCCGAATTTATTTTATACATTGAGAAAATAATTTAATGCAGAATTTATATGTAGACGTGCCTGTACACATAGTTTTAGTTTTTTATGACAATTCCAATAAAAAATACTATTCCAATGAACTACTATAATTCAATTCAAACTGAACATGACATTCACATATCCTTATATATTTCATGATAGTCTTCTGAACATGTTAAACTACTTCTATTTCAATGAGAATAAACAGGGAAAAAATCATTTTAAAATTTCATAGATGGTAAGTTCTGATACAAGTTCTGATACAAGTTCTGATATAAGTTCTGATACAAGATCTCATCTTGGATGGTAATGGCATGAATCGAAATCCGACCACAAGAACTTAGGTTAGAACTTATACGAGAGCTCATATAATTTCTTGTACAAGTTCTAATACAAGTTCTGATACAAGTTCTGATACCCTATTTTTAGGAGGGAAGGCTTTTGATTAAACTGAAGTGCTCTGTGTATTTGTTTTATTTTGAGTCCGTATTTAATAGCCTGCTTTAGCGCTCTATAACACAGGCCGACAAAAAATTTTACCAAGAACCCGAGTATAGTTTTCCGAAGGTTTTTTGCGCGCTGAATCCGAATCCGAGGTCAGAATTACTCTGTTGGCTCCGGTTTTCGAGATATCCTAACCTTAAAGTGCAAAAAACGCGATTTTTGCCTATATTTGAGGTTATGTAGCAAAGAAAAGAAATTTTTTTTCAAAAAACTGTATACATCAAATTAAAGTATGAGTTTTCTTCTTTCAAATGCCGTTGAGTATGTTCGGATATCTTTTTTTTTCACGAAGTTACACAAATTTGAAATAAAAAGCACTTGGCTAACTTGCTCTACCCAGCGTCATGTGGGTGTGCCTGCTTAGGGGTTGGGAGGGCTGGTTTTAAAGGGTTGAGGAGGTATTTGGGGATGAGGCCTATCTAGATCATATTAGTACGCATACCTGTGATTAGAAAATGAGTTTTTTTATCAAAAAGCTGTTAATTAAACTTGCTCTACCCAGGGTTATGTGGGTGAGCCTGTTTAGGGGTTGGCAGGGGTGTTTTCTACCCGTAAGAGAGCATTTTGTAAATAGAAGCACGATGCTCACAATATTTTTTAGTGTTTTGTCATATTTCCAAGTTTGGTTTAAATTGGTGAGTGGCTCTTTAATATGGTTACTTGTTAGATAGCTTGGGCTGAATGATGTGGTGCTTTTTAAATTCATAAAATTTGAAATTTTCAAATTTGTGTAACTTCGTGAAAAAAAAAGATATCCGAGCATACTCAACGGCATTTGAAAGAAGAAAACTCATACTTTAATTTGATGTATACAGTTTTTTGAAAAAAAATTTCTTTTCTTTGCTACATAACCTCAAATATAGGCAAAAATCGCGTTTTTTGCACTTTAAGGTTAGGATATCTCGAAAACCGGAGCCACCAGAGTAATTCTGACCTCGGATTCGGATTCAGCGCGCAAAAAACCTTCGGAAAACTATACTCGGGTTCTTGGTAAAATATTTTTGTCAAATTCTGTCGGCCTGTGTAATGAATGACATACCGTTCTTTATCATACAGTGTTGTTAAAAGTTTTTTTTGTCTTGATCCAGGTGGTGTGTTGTGTTCAGGACAAAGTGGAAGGTCCTTATGTTCGTCGTGTAGTTCTTTTGGATACTCTAGACCAACTTCTAAAATATATCCAACCTCATTGTTATCGGAAACATTGAAAAAATGAGACTCATCGATGTTAGAGACCCACTTAAAATTTTTATATGGTAATGATTGCGTCATCGCCCATCCATATAAATTGTTAACGTCAAAGTACATCAAAGTCTTGCTAGGTTCTTTTTCATTATATTCTGAGCCCATATATCGATTATTAGCTTTTGAGTATCTATTACAGCATTGACTAATACCTCCTCGAATGCCTTTTTGGATGAATAAAACCATGTCTATATCGGTTAAAAGTTCTAGCTCAATTTTTGTACACTTTAACATAGCATCCCATGTTAATCCAGGAGTAGTATAATAGTGTGCCGGGTCGAGTTGATACGCATCCATACACGTTTTACGAAAATTTTCAAAAATATCGGCCAAGAGTAATACGTCAGTTTTTAAATATAAATCAGAATACTGTTCTAAATCAATGATGTCAAATGCATTCCACACTTTTTGAGCATGCTCATAGTCAGCTTCAGAGTTGTTGCTATATCTATCAATTGACTATGAAAATCTTCGATAGGCGGTAATTAAGTCTGTTTTAATCTTTCAAAACTGTTAACATACTCATATGGAAAAACGCCTTTTCTCTTCAATAATTCTATTTGTGTTTTTGTATATTTATCTATCTTGAATTCATGCTCTACGATATTTAGTTTGGTTAAGTATGAAGACAGTTTTTCGAGAGATGATGGCATAAAACGAAACGAATCAATAAATCGAAAATTTATAGTACTACCGTCCACGTGTTTTGTGAAAGCTATATATCTTTCCTTGTTTTCAGCTAAAACAGTCACATTTCCCTCAAGATCAGAGCTAGTAGCTATTTCTTTTATTATAAAATGAGAATCATATCCAGTAAGGTTATGGAAGACAACTGGTATAAAATAAGGATTCTTATAATTTAAATTACAGGATGCGTGAGCAGCACCTCTAAATCGACCCGTCAAATGACAATGATCTCTAACTCTTGTTTCATCAGGTTAAAAATATTTTCTACAAATATGACACATTTTGCTCATCTTGAAATCCATTTGATTACGCCATGAAAGATTCATTTCTATTGCATTCTTATATATTCGATTCATTTCATTTAACAAAATCTGAAATTGTTTGATAATCCATTGTGCGGGTGATTGTTCTTCATTCAGTTTTTTTCTATACATCTTAAAGACTGATTTGGAATCATCATAACTACATTTTATATAAAGCCCCACACTAAAGGCTTCATGATCTTGGAAGGATTGTCATTCATTCTCATCAATATAATCGCTTTGTAGTAACAAAAGATTTACATGCTTATCTTGTTTTAAAGTTGATATATAATATGGTGAGACTTCGAATTTAAAACCGTATTTTTTTAGTATGTATAGATTTATTGAAATCTATTTAATTTTTCAAATTTAGGAATATTCTTTACCTCAACAGGAAAGTTTATATCATCGAATTTCAATTCATTCGCAAAGGGCATATAATTTTGAACTCTTTCGCTATGAAATCTAGCTGGATGAAGACAGGCAAGCAC